AATTATTTATATTAACTATTTTATAATTTTATTTATTATTTATGGAGGAAAATGGACAGTGGAGGAAAACGGTATCTCGTTTTTGGAGGAAAATGGCCGTAGCATTTGCTCAATAACTTATGGTTTAAAGGTATAAAATATATAATTGATATGTTGAATATTTATGTATTATGTCTTAAACTGTTGTATAGGGCTCAGCCCGTTAATAAATAAATATAATTATAAATATTTAATTAGTTAGGTAGGGTACATAATATGTAAATATTAAAAATACCGTCCAATTAAACAGCAAATCAATCACACATTTAGATTGTTACATAATTATACGCACCTATATAATTTATTTATGAGCATATACCTATTATAATTTATTAATTATAGACACCTAATACCTACTTATAAAATTATTAATACAACAGTATGATATATTGATATGAGTATACCTACGTCACTGCGATGAGTTATGAATTATAAATGTGACTTGTTACTATTTAAAATTTTAAATATAAATAATAAATACATAATATAATGATTAATGACTGATTTTCATATATTAATAAAATTAAACAATTTGGTAAAATATTTATTTTAGATAGAACTAAATTGTACCTACTATATTGTAAAAACATCTGTACATTTTACTACTATATTATAAATTTTCTGGGCTTTAGGCACTAATTACATACATTCAAATAAATAAATAATGCATTAAAATATCAGCTAATTCACCTCTTATGATATTGGATATTTTGTAATGTATGAAACTATGAACCCTTTTTTTGTTCCTTTTCCATCAACATTAAAATATGTAGCCACACTGTTCGTCATTATTGAGGCTAACCAGTGATTAATTGACTTTCCTTTGCTATTATCAGTAATATCAGCTTTTACTAAATAAAATTCCTAGAATCATGATTTAAACCATATATATCTTATAGTAGGTACTTAATTTAACAGAATATTTAGTGAGGGAAAGGGAWTGTTGATGAAAACTGTCATACAACAAGTTATCTAGTACCTATGGGAACTTCAGAAAAAATAAATAAAAAATAAATTACATATTRCAATATGTTAAAATAACAAGTAAACCAATTATTTTAATAATTTAAAAAATCTAGATTTATTTAAACATATTATTTATGATTTTAACTGGAAGGTTAAGTTGAAATGATTAGGTYGAGGGCACATAAAAAAAAAAAAATAAGATGTTGAATTTTATAAAATTAGATATTGAGTTTTATAAAATAAAGTTGAGAAAAATTTATCCTTAAGAGGACCGGCCCTCCCCGATATTGGTTGTCTCCGTCTTATAAGACAAGTGCATAACATAGCAAATTTAAGCTCAGAAGCTATTTTTATTTAATAAGGCCATGACTAAAAATAAAATAAAAAATATTTAGAATTAGAATAAGTTAAGTAGGTAAACTATAGAAAATACTAACTTTGGTTATTATCAACATTGTCATTACTCTTAATTACATTTATGTTCAAATTCTAGTTTGTAATGGAAGTATCTA